AATGCTCAAGTTCGAGTTGATATCCCGATAGGACAAAATGTTAAGGCAAATGAGTCTGGACCACGCTTAAAGCGTGGTAGACCAATTGGTTCCAAGGATAAAAATCCTCGAAAAAGGAAAGGAATAAATGATCAAGATGATCATAATATGGAGGCAATTGCGCATGAAGAGCTCCGAGACATAATAAATGATGACACCAAAAAGGAGGTCCATGTACCAGAAAATAATGAGAATGAGGAAATCTCTATAAATTATGTCTCGACAAGAAAAATGTGGAATCGAAATAATATTGTGGTGGATAATATTTTTGCCTATAATGTTGCAGTTGAAATAATGCAACAAGATGAGGATTCGGAGCCAAGATCTGTCAATGAATGTAGACAGAGAAATGATTGGCCAAAATGGAAGGAAGCAATTCAAACAGAATTGGCTTCACTTGAAAAACGTGAAGTTTTTGGACCAATAGTCCGAACACCTGAAGGTGTCAAGCCAGTGGGGTACAAATGGGTTTTTGTGCGAAAATGCAATGAAAATGGTAAAGTCGTAAGATATAAAGCACGACTTGTGGCACAAGGATTTTCGCAAAGACCTGGCATTGATTATGAGGAGACATATTCTCCTGTGGTAGATGCAATTACCTTCAGGTATCTAATAAATATGACAGTTCATAAAAAGCTTGAAATGCATCTAATGGACGTTGTCACAGCCTATTTATATGGCTCACTAGACCACAATATTTTTATGAAAATCCCTGAAGAACTCAAAGTGCCTGAAGCATATGAAAATTCAAAAGAAAGTTGTTCAATAAAGCTTCAGAAATCCTTATATGGATTGAAACAATCAGGGCGAATGTGGTATAATCGTCTTAGCGAATATTTGCTAAAAGAAGGGTATAAGAATGACCCTATTTGTCCTTGTATTTTTATACGAAGGTCAAAATCTGAATTTGTAATAATATCTGTTTATGTTGATGACTTGAACATCATTGGAACTCCTACAGAGCTTTCAAAAGTCGTTGAGTGTTTGAAAAAAGAATTTGAAATGAAAGATCTTGGAAAGACAAAATTTTGTCTTGGCCTTCAGATTGAACATTTGAAAAGTGGAATATTTATCCATCAATCAACATATACTGAAAAGGTTTTGAAGCGATTTTACATGGATAAATCACACCCATTGAGTACCCCGATGGTTGTGAGATCTCTCGATATAAATAAAGATCCATTCCGACCTCAAGAAAAGGATGAAGAGATTCTTGGTGATGAAACACCATATCTTAGTGCTATTGGGGCACTAATGTACCTGGCCAACAATACCCGGCCAAATATTTGTTTCGCAGTAAGTTTATTGGCGAGATTCAGCTCATGTCCAACAAGAAGACATTGGAAAGGTGTTAAGCATATATTCAGATATCTTCAAGGAACAATTGATATGGGATTATTGTATTCTAATGCATCCAAGTCAGAATTGATCGGTTATGCAGATGCTGGCTATTTGTCTGATCCACATAAAGCTCGATCTCAGACAGGCTATTTATTCACATATGGAGGTACGGCTATATCATGGCGTTCGATGAAGCAAACAATAGTTGCTACTTCTTCAAATCATGCAGAGATAATAGCCATTCATGAAGCCAGTCGAGAGTGTGTATGGTTGAGATCAATGACTCAACACATTTTGCAATTATACGGTCTTTCTGTGCAAACAAAGACTCCAACAATACTGTATGAAGATAATGCTGCTTGCATAGCTCAATTAAAGGGAGGATATATCAAAGGAGACCGAACAAAGCATATTTCACCTAAGTTCTTTTTCACACATTATCTTCAACAAAATGGTGAGATAAATGTTCAACAAATTCGTTCGAGTGATAATCTTGCAGATTTATTCACTAAGGCATTGCCAACGTCAACATTTGAGAAGCTAAGATATAAGATTGGAATGCGTCGTCTCCAAGATATCAAATAAATTTTTCATCAGGGGGAGTAAAATACGTGTTGCACTCTTTTTCCCTTAGCCAAGGTTTTGTCCCATTGGGTTTTCCTGGTAAGGTTTTTAATGAGGCAACACTCAAGGCGTATTACAAGATGTGTGTACTCTATTTCCTTCACTCGGCTTTTTCCCACTGGATTTTTCCTAGTAAGGTTTTAACGAGGCACATTATCTATAAACATCCAAGGGGGAGTGTTACAAATCCACTTAATTGTGTGGATGTTTCTCTTAATCTATCCTAACGTAATGTATCCATTTAGTATATTAATTAAATATTATAGTAACGTATTGTCAAATGTTGTAAAAGGATGATTTAAACATCCTATAAAAGGTAGTCTTCATCCTTAGGAAATACACACTTGAAGAGTATTAAATAATATTCTCCCCTCTATACTTCTCATCACAATTTGTCTTCCTTACTTGTTTAGTATTATTATATTTTGCTCTCATTTTACAACATAATCAGTATTATACTAATAATATTGTTTTGATAAATAAATAAAAAACTTGAAACAAAAATATAAAAAGACAAAAAAACAATAGTATTATTAACACGTACCCTTCTAAATTTTGTACTATAGTGTCTTTTTTTTTTAAAAAAAACTTTCTCACTCTTGTTTCATTTTTTTTTCCTTGTATATAATCTATGGGGGTTTCTTCATAATGAAGCACTTGTTTTATCCTTTCAAAAAGATAATTTTCTTTTTAGTATTACTTGTCTATTCTATATATGGATTTCTTCGTAATGAAGAACTTGTTTTCTCTAAAAATATTTATAATTATCTTATTTTCTAAAAGTTAAATTAAGTGAATTTTTATTGGTTTTATGCGTAATAATCGATATTTGCAATGAAATCAGAGTTGAAAGTGTTTCACTTGAGCCTCTTTTGATGGAAAAATATATATATACACAAGATAACATAATTTTAATGTATATATAATATTTTTATCTTTTCTTTTATATTTTATATTCACTTAGTAAGATCGAGAGATTTTTAAGACATTGATTTGCTAAATCAACATACAAAGAACTTTACCATAAATTTGAAGTTAATATTTTTCTATATAATTAATAGACGATTGGATAAAATTATGTGAGAGAAACAATGAATTCAATTTCTTTTAACTTTTTTAAAACACTTATATATGTATCAAATTGTACTTTTAACTTTAAAAAAAAACTTATATGTGTATCAATTGTTATATTTTAATTTAATAGATGTGTATGTCATATACTTATAGATAAATTTTTAATATTCAATTACGATTAACTAATTCATGATTTTTGCTTTATCAGAATTTATTATGATAAGTTAAGTTATATATTAGTTTGTTGTAAATATTTAATACGACTAAATATTTTCACATATGGTGTAGGTAATAGTACAAGTTTGTTTTTTTAAAACCAATCTGTTATAGACACGTAGTAAATCTAAGTGAAAAGGGGATTTTGAGGTTGAGGTTAAAGGAGAAGTCAAATCAATTTGCATAATACACATTGAGGGTGTCATAATTCGTAAGTACTGCAGCAACAACAATCACATAATTCAACAAGTAAAATAAGAAGCTAGAATTTACCTATTTTATCATGTAGTGAAGAGTGTTGGATCAAAATAAAGTGTACACAAACCTTATCATTAACTTGTAAAAATAGAAAAGTTATTTTTAAAAAATCTCAACCTAAATTTAGCTAAGAGATTGTGTTAGTATGGAAATACTCTTAATATTTGTATATTTTGTGGTCAAATTTTTTGAAAAATATATTATTATATTTTAGAAAAATAGTACTCCTTATAAAACTTTAAAAAAAAAACCACTTTCTTGAAATTAAAAAAAAAAGTTTCATAATAATATTTCGATTATCTTATTTGGTCCTTTAAAAGTACCCTTATAAGCTAGCTTTTGGTTGAGTTAGACCCAAGATCCATCTTTACTTGGTATAAGAGTCAAACCCATCTCAATTTGTTATTCAACAATGTTGGGCTCCCATTTATATATGTGTTCACACTCTAGTTGAGGTTTGGGCATGTGCGAGAGTGTTAAGATGTCCCACATCGAGAGATGAATGAGAATTAGTCTCCTTTTATGAGACTTAGACAAGCCCCCCTCGTAAATTGGTCTCATTATATGGACTTGGATAAACCTCCTTCATAAACTAGCTTTTGGGGCCTAAACTTGATAAGAGTTGAATGTGTTGAGTTATAATTCATAATTTTATCCATCTTGATTTAATATAAGGAATTATTAGGCAGCACTTATTTATTGATTTCCCTATATTAATAGGTTAGGTGGGCAGAGTAGAGGAGCTCAAATAAGTTGGTAGATTACGCCATTTAAGCGCCATATTGGAATTAAAGAAAAACCGAAGACATTGAAACTTAAATGTAAATATCACTCTTAATTGAATGAAAAAATATATAATGAATGAGCAAAGAGGCAAATATGTTTTTTTTTAAAAAAATTCTTTTGTCTAATATTGAAATACATCATTGATTTGTTGCTCAAATATTTAGAGATATTAAGTTAACAGTCCAATTTTGATGACAAGAACTTTTGCAACTTCAATGCATCTACTTGATGCTTGAGAGTTGAGACTAATGAAATTCAATTATCTGATCATTTTTTTTTTTGAGGAAAAGAACTAGCTAGTACTAAGTAAAATAACACTAATTATTACATTATGTCTAATTTTGGTTTGTTGATGAAACTAATTTATCAATACTTCACCTAATCTTGGATAAAGCTAAACTTTTCTCCCCTTTGAATCCCTAAAGAAACAATTTAGCTAAGGACCATAAATACTCATTACAAATCAATAATTTTCTCCTAACCAAAAAACAATGATAAAAATAAATTACTAGATCTTATTAGCCATAAGACAGATTTATCAAAGATTTTATATTATCTTTAATCTTAAAAAATGTGATTTATAGGTCTCAAATTTACTTAATCCATTTTCCATCATACTCAACTGAATAAAACTAATCATATTTACAATTTGAGCGTCTTCGTACAAGATTAAGGGAACACAAAACAACAGTTTGATCCAATGCAGAATCAAGAACAAGATGTTACATCACAAAATGTTAATTGCTAATCAAAATTAACCAAAAAAATAGCAATGAAAAAACAAATGAATGGGTGAAATCTGCAATTAAGGAGACTCAAAGGGTGGATTTGATATTTTTGCAACTGAAATGATTTGTTGTACTCATGCAGAGTTGATCATCACCGTTGATTTGTATAAGAAGAATCTGGACCGTTTATTATTATGGTTCCTTCTCAATGGATTCAGTCCAGAACGCTGAATTTTGATCAAACGGACAGAATGGGATCTTCTTCTGCAGCATCAATCCACACAGCAAACCTCCACCGTCTGATTTCAAATCTTTCTTTCCCGCCATCTCTGTAACTGTTGGTACACAGTTGCAATCTTTCAACGCCATTGACACCGCCGATGACGACGACGACGAAGTTGTCGAATCAGTGCCGTCGGAGAAATCGTAAGATTCGCTGCCTGATGATGGTGGCTCGCTCCGCTTCGATCCTCCACGGCTAAGACGTCGCCGACGCCATCGACTACCATTCTCTTTTTCTTCCATCAAATCCCCGAAGCAGATGGCAGATAATCCATTCAACAACGAAAAATCCGAACTACTATACACCGCAGCAGCAATATTCAAAACTCCATGGAATCTTCCAGAAGGCCGCCTAACTTGTACAGCAGTGAAAGCCGGAGTTGCAGTAGTAATTCCATGATTCGCAATTCCTTTAAGACAACTACTTATCAGTAAACGCACAGTACCAATGAGAAAATCCTTGATGTAACCGACGGCGTAGATTTCAACAGAGACACCGGAAGTTTCACCTGAAATGAATTCCGGCGAAACACGGAAGAGGAATTTGTCGTTCCATGTAGGGTTTTCACCGCCGAGATGATCGATCTTGGTACGAAGCTTGGTTGATGAATCAACCCAGAGTATGGCATAAGTTTGCATACGGCGCAAGTTAGCGACTGGGGTTTTGAGGGATTGAGCAGAGATCAAGTTGATCTCCAGAATTTGAGTTCCCTCTTCCATTTGGGGGGAGCTTAGCTTGTTGTTCCTCTCCAGATTCTGCTTTTCTGTGTGCTAATAATAATACATGTTGATGTACGATTGAAGATTGGTGTGTTTAATAAGAACAAGAACTGAAAATTTTCTTGATTCAATTCATAATGTGAGCAAACTACTACTCCGAGCGATTGAGAGAGAAAGAGAGGATTCTCCTCCCCGCTCGCCGGCAAATGTTTCTCTTCTTGGAATTACATATATACTCTGGAAACTGTTTGGTTGATTGTTGGGCTTGAGATGATAATGGGCTGGGCTGATTATATGGGTCATTTGCACTTTGTCCCTATTTTGTGTTGCTCTTTTAACTTTTGTCCATCATAATAAATACATAATTTCTAGGGAAAAATAATCTAATTACACAAACAAGTCTACTATATTTACTAATTTTTTCTATAGTTTGAAAATGTTATATTAGTTTAATTAATCAATAATTTCATACTGGATTTCAAGTTAGTTATAGCTATACATATATTTTTGCTACCAGATACACTCTGAAATACATATTCATTGGGAGAGAGTTGAGCTAGAAGGTCGACAAGTGAGAGAGTATGTATATCCCATATACATACGAACATATTAGATACATATATCTGAAATATCAAATATATTTTATTTTGTAGATACAAGGAGAGAAATATGAGTGTACATTAGATATATGTATCTGAAATATCAAAACATTCTAGATACATTTTATTATGCAGATACAAGGGGAGAAAGATGAGCGTACATTAGATACATATATCTGAAATATCAAATACATTCTAGATACATTCTATTATGCAGATACAAGGGGAGAAAGATGAGCGTGCGTGAGAGAGAGCGAAAGAGGGGAGAGACAAGCGAAAGAGTCTAATATATGTAAATTTACTTGGATATAGTGTATCTTAAATAAATTATACCTAATTTTGATCCCATGTATTGGATGTTCGAATATTGATAAGATTTGTAATAAACTCGCGTGAAGAGAAGTAATTTGCTCCCACTCTAGTGGGTTTGTATTGTTTAAACTAATTTTTAATCATAGATTGTATTTTCGTATCATAATATTGCATAACTTTAGCTCAAACAAATTTTCACTTTCTAAAAAATTTATACCTCTGTAGACATAAGTTCAATTATTAATAATAAAAAAATAAATATTAACTTATTTGAAAGAAAAACACATATAATTTGATATTGCTTAATTATATTGTTTGCAATAAATTTTAAAGTAACCGAAAAATAAATCAACCACAATAAAATCTGAACAAACAAGAATACTTCGTATTTCTAAAATTAGGATGATTTGAATTTGATCTCTTGTAGTACCCTTTATATACGCATAAACTAGGGTTTAGGGTTGATTATCCTCCAAGAATTCTAATTTGAATTAAACACACCTTGTAGAGTCCCACAAAATTTCAATGTCGATAAATATCTCAACTCGAATTAAATGCGGATAGAATTCCACAAAATTTCAATTTCTACATGTATCATCTTAAATTCTAATTCCAATTTAACATAAACCTCTCTACAAAAAATATGTACAACTTTCGTGTCTTTCCTGTTTAACTTACGCGCATCTCTTTGACTCTCTCAACTATTTATAGCATTTCATTCTCCCCGGAGTTCTTATCCTAAATAACTAATCATTACAATTTAGGAAAATGTAGAAATATCATATGCATGCTCCATTACTTATTAATTGGATGGCTCGATGAACCATCAATAAGATTCAATTGATGGCATTTATTACAATTCGATAGCATGCCAATTAGAGGTGAACTTAGGAATTGGAGATTTTGGGTTTATCAATATGCTCAAATACGAGTTCTAATTTAAACTTTTTAAAAAAGGCTTTAGCTAAATTTGAACCATTGTGTCACGTAGTTCCACTGGCTTGTACCAGCAACGCAGACAATTCTATGCTCTTTATGAATGCACATTTAATTATACCTAATTTTTGTCAATATCTATGTATATATATAATACATGTGATTTTATATGATATTTTCCAAAGTTAACGAGTGCACGTGCAACTGAACTTTATATGCAATCCGTGGGTCCTCCTATGCATATCCTCTTAGATATCCTAAACCTAATTAAGATGATTCATCTTATTGTTATTTGAGGAACTTTCACATATAACCACTCAAAAATAGCTTAATTACTCTCCATAGCTATAGTTTGATAGACGAACGAGATTGGGAGAGAGAGGAGAGCAAGAGAGGGCAAAGAGTGGGAGAGAGGTGAATTGTATATGTATATCGGTAAGATAATTGTATATTATACATATATATTTGTATATATGGCAAGCGAGATTGGGAGAGGGAGGAGAGAGGCGAGCGAGATTGGAAGAGGGAGGAGAGAGGCGAGTGAGATTGGGAGAGGGAGGAGAGAGGGCAAAGAGTGGGAGAGAGGTGAATTGTATATATATATATCGATTAAATAATTATATATATTATACATATGCATTTGTATATATTGCAAGCGAGATTTGAGAGAGGGAGGAGAGAGGCGAGTGAGATTGGGAGAGGGAGGAGAGAGGTGAGCGAGATTGGACAATAATTTATATAATTCACATCTCCTTTGTAGAATTCGCGGCTACGTTTTTATAATTCACGTGTTTTTGTATAATTGAGTAATATAAAGTTTGGAATTATACAAATATGATAAAACTTGAAATAACAAATTGATACTAACATAAACATATAAACTTTAAACAGTTATACAAAATATGTCATACAAATTACATTATATAAATTAATTATACAAAATCCGAAAACTACACGTTTATACAAACTTTAAAAAGTTATACACAAAAAGATTGAATGCATATGGTGACAAAACTAAAGGAAATCATTGTCATATACATATATAAGCCATCGTATACAAATATAAATCAAAAGAACAATTGCTAGTTGCGAATTATACAAATGTGGCTAATTATACAACTCGAAGTCAGCCCACGTAATTAATAGTTAATGTTAGTCGCGAGAGTTAATTATAGCAAACTATAACTATGATGAGTAATTAAGTAGTATAAGTTTGCTTAACCGCGTAATTTTTCCTTGTTATTTTATATAATTTAAATAAGAGAGGACTTATATAATAAAAAATCTTTATTTTATTTATTAAAAAAGAAAAAGGAAAACCTATATATTAGGAAAAAAATCAATCAAACATGAAATTACGTAGTATCCATGAACTAATTATTCTCTTTACATATCAAAATATGATTATTGTGTCCCTAAATTAAAGGAGATTTTCTCTATAATAAAACACAAATACGAATCCTTACCAATTTGATTCACTTTCTACACTACTTTTATGTTTTAATATTAATATTCCCCCTCCCCCCCTTCTTTTTTCTACGTGTGCTCATATTATATTACTACTATGGCGTACTCATCATCACTGCCGGCAAAGTACAAATTGCTTATTGTAGAAGTAAAATCTGCTCAATTTGATGTGAAAAAGAAGGGCAAATACTACGTGAAAGTTTCCACACACAAAGAAAATCAACTCAAAACAAGTAAGATTAAGATGTGTACCAATCAACAATGGAGCCAAAAGTTTGTTTTCGTCGTCCCGTCCAGTGAAAGCTTTAGCCTTCGTTTCGAAATTTTTAAAGCTGGTAAGTTTCTACCGCTAGACTCTTTACTGGGTGTTGCTGAATATCGATTTGATTCCGAAAGCGAAGAGGAGGAAAGTGCTGTATATGACTCTGATACAGAGTACAAATCGGATAGCGATGGTGATGGTCATGAGGATTATCTGTCGTTTTGTTCGAATTTTAGGGCTTCGGAGAGTTTGAAGATATGGAGATATGGCAGTGATCATAGGATCTCGAAGGGGCAATTGTATGTAGAGATCGAATTGGGGAAAAATCCGTCAATGGTTGGTGATTTTAACTGGAAGAGATTTGGCATGAAGTATAAAGATTTTATGATGGAAGAAACAAGGCGTGGATACAATGGATGTGTGTGTTTTGCTCCTACTGCGGAGCTGCAAATTTAGAATTTGAATTTTATGAATTTACGGGTATTATTGATTGATATACATATTTAGTAAAGCATACACAAAATTTAGGTCAAAGCTACTAAATAGGGGGATCCATATATTCAATAGCTAGCCTAATTATGTGTATTTCTTGTTTCAATTTTTACAATGGTATAGTTTGCTCGTCTTAAATTACAATAAATATCCATTTTCATTAGAATAATGTTCGTTTAATTCGTGGTTATTAATTAGTGATATTTTGGAGTGTTACTTGACTTGGTACTTCTTTATATTTATTTATATAAATTCCTTTACTTCTTTTTGTGATTCATAGTATGCAATTATTGTTTGAAAAGGGTGATCATCTATTAACCAATTAAAGGTGGAATTTAAAACGTCAAAAACTACTCACACCTCTAACTTTGAAGTCGCTATTACCAAACAAATAACTTTAAAATCGCTATTGTCACGCCTCAGTGCCAAACAAGTAACTTTGAAGTCGCTATTGTAAAACATGAAAAACTATTGTCACGCCTCAGTCGCTATTGTCACGCCTCAGTGCCAAACAAGTAACTTTGAAGTCGCTATTGTCACGCCTCAGTGCCAAACAAGTAACTTTGAAGTCGCTATTGTCACGCCTCAATGCCAAACAAGTAACTTTAAAGTCGCTATTGCATAAGAACCAAAACCAAAGCCAAAAGGGACAACAACTGAGCAGAAAAAGCCTTATTTATACATAGCATACATACTATGGAACACAAACAGACTACATGAACCAAACTACTATTCCATTCAAAGGAATCACCAAGCTTTTTGTTCTTACATTGCCAACCCCACAGACCTGTTTCTAAGTGAGTCATTCAATGGCTTTACACAGGCTGCTGGTAACCTACTCCGTTTCAATTTTAGCTTTTTCTTCTTGGACAATCTCTTCTCCAGGTCCTTAACTCTTCCAGAAAGACTGGATATGGCATTCAGTTGTTCATTCCCTGATTTAATTAACTTCTCCATCATCTCCCTTAATTTTTCATTCTCCTCTATAAGTTTTTTATCGCTCTCAGACAGCGC